ATAAATAAATAATAAAATCCCGAGAGTTGTAGTCTGAAACAGCAAGACTTAGAGTCTGTATCTCTTTGCTGCGATCTGGTGGTCATTCAGATTTTTACAGCCCAGATACGCCACCACTATGTTAGCTCATATCTCAGGATATCATACATGTGAGGGCTCATAGAACATACTAAGCTCTAAACCCAGGTTAAAAAAATTACAATTACTGTGTTCACATACCATGCTATGCCTAAAGTAATAAATCATATTATGCCTTACCATGATGGCTGGTTCATCTAACTTTCTATGACAGTGGTTGGGCTTCCTGCCTACAGGTTGAACCACAAATTATTTAGCAACCAGTTTAGCTGAATTCAGCATGTTGTGTGAAGCCAGCCCATGCGGCTTCAGATACATGTTTAGATGAAAAGCTGAGGTTGTGGCATATGTGTTTTGATTAATCTGTTTGTTGCAGATTATAAGAAAAAGTAGACAAAAGTGTCATCAGTTCATGAAAATGCAGACTATTTAGCAAGTTTAGCAATGAGAAAAGGAGAGAATACTATGTTAACCACAATATTCTCTTGCTGCTAATTATTTTTCCACGTAAAGTTTTAGATGAGAATTTGGAATTGTTAATTTTTTAAAAATAGGGTTTTCATCAAAACACATATGCCACAACCTCAGCTTTTCATCTAAACATGTATGTGAAGCCGCATTTAATGTCTATCAAATGACATTCCCTTGGAAATAAAACAATTGGATTTTGTTTGACAGTCACCAACACAGCTCTATTTTCTCAGTGATGAAATACGCTCAGCCCAGAGCTGCATGTCGCTTCTCACAAACCCGCAGTCTTTCACTACAAGTGTCCTCTTTTCTCACTGCTAGTTCTCTCCAGACAAAAGCAGACTGGCTGACTTCCAACCTGGGAGTCATTAGCTTTGCGAGTCTCCCTTGTAACTCCTTTTTCAGTCCTGCCTTTAAAAAAGAAGCATATATGCGTGATGAGAATCAATCTGATGGCTTGACCCATTTTTTAAATTTATTAGGGTCTTTTTTTCATAGTTTAGAGATGGGAATTGGAGCAAGAAGCTCATGGTCCCACCCTTGTCCTCCCCTGAAATTCTATTTTAGGGCATCCTGTTTTCATTCCCACACATAACCCCCCCCCCCCCCCAACCCCCCCTCCCCCCCCCCCCCCCCCAAAATCCCCCTCGTCTAACACCAGCTCCATAAATAGTGATTGGCAAAAGGGATTCAGTTGGGTGGGGATGGTGACAGCTTTGCACCTAAAGGCAAAGAAAATAAAAATGTTGCCACCAACATTGGGCTATTTTGCTGCTAACCTTTGGCCACATGCAACTTATGGCCAATGATTGTCACCCTATTAACTGCCAGCCCAGTCAGCTTTTGTATAAGAAATTAGGAACAAGGCCCATCCCCTTGTCCTTTGCTTTGGGTGGGAAAGAGACTTGAGGGGCAGCCCTAACCATTAGGCTAGTGTGAGATGAGCCTTGTGCTGCAGAAATAATGAGTTTCTCTTCACTGAGGCAAAGGAACATGTCTGGCCTTGATGAAACTGTTGGTGTCATCCTGGAGCTTCCCTTTGTCTCTTCTGTCCCTTGAAAAGAATGAAGCTACTGCAACAGGGCTGCAAAGCAGGCCAACATGAAGCCGTGGGACCACTTCCCTTTGAAGGGAGGGGGGCATGTTTCTATATGAAGCAGCTTTGAGGGGGTGCTTTGTTTGAATCTTCATCAAAGTAAAGCAACCCTTTGAAGACCTGCATGGGTATGCCATATCATCACAAAGCCTGCACTAACCTCTTTTGACTCAGATAACGCGTCAGGCTGGAAGGATGGCCAACCCTATTGCTACCTTAATGAATCTGCAATATATGGATATCTCATTGTTCAAGTGAGGTTTCTGAATTTTTCCTTCACCTAATGCCTCTCTTTCTTAAACTGTTGATTTAGGAATTTTCCAAGACATCACTGGATCCATTCAGGTTATCTCAGATGTAAACTTAGTCTCAGGAAAAGTGCAGAAGTAACAAATATAAAAAGCCATCTGTATCTGGCTTAATCTAGAAGGCATCAGGCATTATAGATGGTTCAAGAAATCTTTCTGAAAGCTTTAATAAAATCCATATTGATTCATTGTCACAAAGCATTAAACTTGTTTCCTCTTCCCCATCCCAAACAGCACTACTAGTCTTCAGGGAGCTGTTAAACACTGCCTAGCAGAAGGATAGATCTCTTTAGACTGGAGTGACATTTATTGAAGAAGACTTGGGAGGGGGAAAGAGTTGAAAAAAAGATAGTCGTCTGCTTTCATCTTCCCTTTCAATTACTGGAAATGGCATAAAGAGTCTCAAGGGTATAGGATGAAAAACAGCCGCCAACAGCCTGAATGAAGGATAAACCCAACATTCTGCTTAGAAATGCAGAGAATAGTCATTGCTTAGCAGTAAATCCCAAGCTTCCATCAACCTTTTCCAATTGACGCCTCTAGATTTGTAGGACTACAACTCCTGTCACCCATGGCCAAAACATTGATTCCCTGTCTAGTTCAAGGTGAAGAACCCAAGAATGGTGGAGCTGCAGGGACACTGAAGTTGCCTGTTGACAGCAAACAGATTAGGTTCACAAGTCCTCTGGTCACACTCTTTCTCCAAGTCAGTTCTTTATTATAATTCTATCTATATTATTTAGTCATTTTTTATTCATTTTATTTAAATTATATACATTCTTTCTAATCCTGCATTTGTACCCAGAGGCATATTATCTCAAAATATGTTTCCATTTGGGAAAGATAATTTGGGGAAACTAAGGTAATGTGTAAGTTATCATCCTAGTTTAAATGAACTGAACAAATATGATAGATATTGGTCCTTTGTCACATGGGCATGACAAGCCCACAGAGGCTAAGAACGCTCATCATGACATTCTTCTTTTCTT